GTTGGTTTGGGGGTGGGGAGGGGATGGTGGGTGTTGGTTAGGTGGTGGGGAGGGTTGGGGATGGTTGGTGTTGGTTTGGGGGTGGGGAGGGATGGTGGGTGTTGGTTAGTGGGTGGGGAGGTTTGAGGATGGTGGGTGTTGGTTTGGGGGTGAGGAGGTTTGTCTGTATATATTGCCACGTACATCAAGTAATGCATTATTATTGTTTTAAACAGACTGAATTGTTTTTCTATTATTGTTTTAAGCATACTGTTTCGTTTTTTTATTATTGTTTTAAGCATACTGATTTGTTTTTCTATTATTGTTTTAATCATACTGTTTTGTTTTTCTATTATTGGTTTAAACATACTGTTTTGTTTTTCTATTATTGTTTATATCTATTATCTGTTTGGTAATAAAATCATGATGACGTAATAACTTTTCCTAGAAGTATAATTAGCTCTCGACAAAATGTTTAGCCTGTATGCTGATAATTTCAAATTGATTTCTTCCTTTTCTGTATAATTTCATGTCCTATTATATGATTTTAACTCGTGATCTATTTAGTTTTGACTTTTCTTCATGTCTTTTTGTCAGGAATCACAGAGCCTATGAACCGTATGGCTCCCGGCTAATAAAGAACCTGGGGAGGGACCGAGGTATGTGGAGGTGACGATCTGTTGTTGTGTTAGATAAATTGGCATGTTAATTAATTCTAACTCAATCAAACGTTTGCCCCTTAGAAGACGATCTAGAGTAGAACTCGACATCTACTCCTGAAACCTTCTATTTAGTACGGACACGTAAACTCCTTTGTACATTTAACGAGAAACTAATCGTTATGATTCCTGAATGTTGGATCCCTTGGGAGTCGCGACCGGCCCAGCAGGCCCAGTGCACACCACAACCTGTTCGTCACCGAATCAAGGAGGTCTCCCGCGGGGTGGCGCTGGTGCATGCCGCTTTGCATTTTGATGTATAAGTGGTCGCGCGGTGGGGAAACAAGTCCCATCTTCCGTCCAACTTCCGTGTGGCGTTGAGATTCGCATAGCTGCGTGTTGACCAGGACATGAGACACATGAACCTTCTCCCACACTGCCGTGACGTCAGTGTCTTTGATGTCACGTGACTTAGCTCTGTGGCCGGAAACGTCCGAACTGTTGTGTCCGAATATGCTTGAAATGCAATATGTCTACCACACAGGAATTTAAGTAGAATTATTAGATGTCGTCAGCGCGTGAAGTATTTGTTGTGTACCTAACTTCACTGTGTGCTAGCTCTATATTTGGTAGGTCTCTACAATGGCCAGTTTATTCACATGGACCAAAATAAGCTCTGGATTATAAATAAACTGTAAACAAAAAACCACACTAGGCACCTGGAGTTCAAACTACGTTGTTTGTATTATGTTTAGTTTATATATGGGTTTTTTTCATAATTAATACTGAACATCTTAAACATATGACTCTTTTATGTATTTGAGAAGCAAGTGTCACTTTCATCTCGTCTCTGGACTTAGTTTCAAGAACGATCATTAGCTAATATTCAGTGTTAACGTACTTTTTCACGTCAAATGTTTAATTATATTTTGATATAAAAATTGACATTCGAATGATATTTAATGCAAAAACATAATTTGATTGCAGGATCTTCCACTCTGGATTCCGGATGTGACGTTAGACTATCATTACACCGATATAAACATTGTATGTCATGATGCTGTTCCGCAACTTGATGCTCATCAGCGGCGTTTCTAGGATATTTGAAAGAGGGGGAAATTTTTTGGACCTTTTTTTTGATAAAAAAAACATAAAATAATTGTGAAATGCACTAATGTAACGGTTCCTGACTTGGAGCATGTATATTTTATAGTTTAAGTGACAGGGTTTGACATTTTTTATGCCGAATTCTCTCCATTAATTGTCTATGGTATATTAAAATGATTGGATGGATCTTAACAGCAGTAGACCAATAACGAGAAATTCCAAATTCCAGGGTATAAGGCGTTACTTAACATTTCAATAGTCCTAGGCCAGGATTTTATGAACGGGAGGCGTAATTACGGTTGCCCTGGTAGAGGGTCCATGGGGAAGCTCAGAAGCTCCTGGATTTCAACAATTTAGCATCAAATTATGAAGTAGCCAGACTGATAGATATCTCTCCATTTTAGATTAAGTTCTGGTTTCGTTGAACGACACACATGATACACAAAACAACCATTTCATTTATAGATTTACTTTTTACTTACCGTTTTGGTTGTTTAGAAAAGGTGTCCAAGACACCTTGAGATGATTTTAAGGTCTTTTGACGCTTTTGTTTTAACGTCGACATCTTTGACGATTTCACTATATGAATCACGTGTCAACAACAATGGATTCCAATCGCAGAGTCGAATACGGCGGAGAAACGAAATTTTACGGATCACCCACCCATCGTATGGGGGAATCAGTATAAAAAGAAATCAGAGTATTTGTTTAAGTAATGAATATGATAAATTGCCATATTCAAAACAATATAAGCAGATTACGATAGTTTTTTGTTGTTGTTGTTTTTTTTGAAAAAAAGGGGGGGGGGGGGGGGGGGGGGGGGGGGGTTGCCGTACGCCCATTACGCCCTCACCTGGACCCGCCCCTGCTCATCGTAAAAATGACATCTATTTTTTTGAAGTAAAATGGCGGCCCCGTACCCATGTTCCACTAATCCCATAATTACTGTCACGCCGGTATGACTTATTTGACCCGGTCGACTGTAAAACTAAAGCAAAGTAAGACGGTGTGATTGAGATGTGACGGCCGGTGGTGGTCGGCGTGTTTTTGTCGCCGCCGTCCGTACACATTACTAGGACACTAACCCTATTAACGCCAGTAGTGTTGTATGTCCTTCCTACATCAAAGAGTCGCCGTGAGCCGCCACCGTGACGGTCGGGTTATCTCCCCTAGTCACACTTACTAACCAAGACAATTCTAATCTATATTCTGGATACTAGGCTATAATCATAAATCCTCATATCAATTTAGAATTTCGGTTTACATACCAATACCTGACTTATGCTTACTCTTACAAGTCGATCATCCACTGTACACCAAAATGAGTGACGTATATATTTACAGTAATTTAGATATTTGTATTAATGGTTAGCTTCAAAACTTCCTATTTATGTATAAAAGCTAACTAAGCGCGCCCAAATTTATTCTATAAAAGCATCGGATTTCTCTGTAGAGGAAGATGTTCCACTTATCACAAAGGAGTACACTTTCTAAGTCTAGAGAACAAATATCAACTGTAGGTAAAAACTGCAGTGACGGTATCAATAGCTTATTTCGGTGTTGTTTCTAAAGTATACTTGAAATGATTCAAAAAGAAAACGCGGCCACCTATTTGTTAATTCACTACACACCCCTGCTCTAATACAAATAATACCTTACTTTAACATGGGTTATATTTCATATTTCAACTTGCATTAGAAAGAAAGAACCGGAGGAAAGTATTTTCTTACAACCAGTATATAAAGGACGTGCAAATGTCAGTTAGCACTTACACCCACTGTATCAGTCAGATCTCAATTGGAGGATGTAGAATGATGTTGGAACGCTGCACTTTAATAATGTTAGAATTTTATCGAAGTTGCAAAAATATAAATATATAGAAAGAAAAGATTAACACTATTGTTTATTTAATTTTTTATCTGGGATTTTCGACGAAAATATTTTGCCTAAATTTTCAGTTAAAATGCTAGTTGTATGATTTTGCTAGTTTATTGGTTTTGTTGAATGATTACATGGGCCGTATCGGAACGTATTGTATAACACGAGGCAATCCATCAGTTGGTTTCATATAAAGGACCTGTACGAAACACGCCGTACTCGTCTAACGGGAAATGTCTCCCGGGTACTCGCCGTCAACCGGTGTCAGGTGTCTTCCAGACCCGGTACCCACCATCCGCCGGTGTCATGTGACTTACAGACCTGATACCCGCAACTTGAGACAACATTTAATAAATTGAAAATATAAAACCAATCAAAAGTTTAAAATCGTTGTCGTGTGACGGCAGTGCGGAGTAATCTGCACCCATGAGTCTGAGCGTTCACACGCCCGTATCAGCGCAGGCACAGTATTCACTTCACAGCTGAAATGGTTACATTAGTGTCTCGCTGTAACAGTAAAATCTTGGAATCTTGGACAAATTTCTAGTTGAAGCGATCAGGAGATAACTTTTATTATTTAGGGTGGTTCCAAATGTTTACCGAGTTTTTTTTAATCCAGTTGCGGACAAATCCTCTCGGCTACATCACATCACAAGTGAGTAATGGACGCCTGGGGGAAACGGGGACACATACATAGACACTGCTACTGTGGAAATGTACCCGAGATCACGTGAACAAATGATTCACTTAGCAAAAACAAGATAGAGATGTTTATATTTACACTATGTTATCTGGCCCCTTGACCCAGATATCAAACCATGTAGATGTCTCTGTATACTACCTGTGCACGGATTTATGAATGAACATGGGTGTGGCCTGTCAAACAGGTATTTGTCAATCATAACTTATACACCTGTACCTACCTGTACTTGTGAGGGGCTCTGCACCAATGACCGACCGTCATTCCGCCCCGTGGTATCACAAAAGCGTCAATAACTAAAACATAACTAACACCTATGATAAATTGAAATGCCAGCTCACAAAAAGGCAACGAGAACACTTTTGACAAATTTAGAATTAAACATTGCAACTTCTGGTTCCTTTTCTGTATATCTCAGCATTTGTTCATGCTTTTGTACCAAAGAAAGAAATTTGCATAAACATTGCTATTCACAACTGAAAATAAGTTTATTAGAGGAGTTTGGTGTGCAGAAACAATTTGTACTAATATAAATACATCTAGTTTACTAATATAATTATACTTAGTGTACTAATATAAATAAATTAAGTTTATTAATATAGACATATATAATATACTGATATAAAACCAGCTTACTTCTAAATTTATTTCTATTAGCTTTATCTAGTTTACTAACATCATACTTCTAGTTTACTAATATAGTTACATATAGTTTACTTACATAATTATATGCATTGTTCATTATTGCAGTTTCTTTTTATATTTGTTGTTTTGCTATTTGCCTTCGAGTAACTATGTAACTATAAATGAGCATTAATTATTGAATTGAATGAAATATATAATTTACTTATAATGGTTACTTATACAAATATATCAAGTTTACTTATATTAATATATATAGTTTTCGTATTTCATATATATTTGTAAGAAACACTATTTTTGTTTCGTATTTCCGTAGATGCTTCTGCTTGTATACTACCGAAAATAGGTTCCGTGGTGTACAATCTTTGGTCCCGGAGCTTAGTGCAGATCACCGAAAAAAGAGAGAAATAACGTTGTTCATACTGTCGCTGTAGTTTCTTTCTTTTACAGCCTACTAATGTTATATCTGTAGTATCTAGATGCATCTATACCCAATAATACAATAATATATATTGGATACAACAACATACAGTAGATGTTTAATGAACACATGATGAAATAATAAACATTAAATAAACCAACTAGATACCACAATAGTTTTGAAATCTTAACTTGTTCCTTCGGGAGGGCAGTGCTAATGAAATACGGAAAGGTTTTGACAAAATAATATTTAAACATGGGACGTTTTACTTTCATATTTTAGAATGATATAAATTCCGAGTTATTATTACTCTAACTGAAAACCTGGGACATAACATAACCGACTTTGTATGTTACATTGTTTACCGATTTCTCCAGCCAGGTATAAGAGAAACAGGTCCGGCAATTATTGAAACTCGAAAGATTTATTTACATCATAAAATTCAAAAAGGCATAGTACCTATTAAAATATTTTACGAAATTGATTGAATCTACTAAATAAAGTTAGAAAATTCAGAAGTTATTTACTTGAAAGATGCTGAAATTCAGCGCTTGGCCACACCCTCCTCGGTAACCGCCGGTATCACGTGAGCTGGCTCCCACCCTGGTACTCTCCAGTAACTCAATCTTCCATGGTTTCTCTGGAGTGAATATAAACCGTTTTAAAGTCTCTTGGTACCTTCCGATATCACAGGAGCGTGTGTGAAAGGAGGGCGTCCGCCATTCTCATTCAAAAGTAAGGAAAAGTTCACACTGCGGGATTCTCCATCGGTAAAGAAATAGGTATGAAAATAAATGTGTAGCATTGGAAAGGAAAAGGAAAGAGGGATACATTTATTAATCAGTGTCATAATAAATACATAAACAAAATGAATCACAACATCGGTAACTAGTGAATGTTTTTTTAATTTATGAATGAACTTCCTCGGAGTGGTGAAATAGTCGTGTTTACAAGACTGCTCTACAAACAGGAATTATTCAAAACAAAACTCGCAGCAAAATGTTACAGCGACCAATAAAACTGCGTTATGTCCTTTTGTTTTCAAATAAAAACAGCATTAACTGAGCTACGTTAATTGTGATGTCAGAATTAGCAAATGTGTTTTATGATTCGCTATCGCGGGCGTCGATTGGCTGCCGAGATGCTCTGTGCGTCACGTCTCGAGCGGAGGGGGCGTGGTCTGTCACTTGAGCCGGCATGTCAGAGTCCCCGACGGTTAGTTTATATCGTACGTAAAACCTTCAAACAATTATTGTGTTTGTGAGATGACAAGGAACAGGACAATATTATAACAGCCTACATACATATACAGTGGACGTGTCAGACTCAAAGTGCTATATTACGTTGTTAGACTCTGTGCTCGGAATTAACACGGATTAATTACTTATCATAATGAGTGACTCTGATGAGAGCCGCGGATCCCCTTTGGAGCAGCCGTCCACGGAACAGCTTCTGGACGCTGTCCGGGGGGCCGGAGCTGGTCTCCTGCAACAGGACGATAGCAAGCTGAATTCCGCAGAACTTGGCACACAGGGATTGAACGTAGAAAAGTTCCCCAAACAGATCCAGGATGCAGTGTCACAAGTCTTAAAGGGATACGACTGGTCCCTGGTACCCATGCCCCAAAGAGGTCCAAACGGTGAGAAGAGGAAACCTCACATCAAGAGACCTATGAACGCATTCATGGTATGGGCTCAAGCCGCACGTCGAAAACTGGCCGATCAGTACCCTCATCTACACAATGCCGAACTTAGCAAGACCCTCGGCAAACTCTGGAGGTAAGTACCCATAAAGTCAGAAAATACTTAGCTTTTTACCTGTTTAGTCAGGTACGGGGGAGGCTTTGGCATCCGCCAACATTCGCTACTTGTACGGGTAGATATCTTTGATTTTTTTTTATGATATTGAGTTGTTACAAATTCTTCAGGAAACTTGCTAGAAGTGACACTTAATTAAAAATTACATGAAACCAAATCCGGGAGGAATATATCCATAATTATATAGACGGACGGACTGGTAGCTCTGGGGGACATTGACCCGGGGACTATTATCATTTTGGATCCCAGATAGCATCTCAACCATGACGGGCTCCTCTGACAGATCATCCAGACAGCCCTGCAGAGAACTGGTCAGTTACGATATAGCATGCATACAATGAACTAATTATAACACAGAGTCAATGTAGTGAACATAAAACAAATATGATAACCCACAACGACCGACAGAATTATACACCTTTTCCTATAATGATTATTATATCTTTGGTATTGTTAGCATTACTATAATTTTGGCAATTTAAATTACTACGCTAGGAGTACGAAAATTATGACTTGCGTATTTGACGCGTAAATTTGAATAAAAATGTGAAAGTCAGCATCTGTGTAAGACTAGTTCCATCACCTCACCTGTATAGGTAGGGAACACAGCCGGTCTCCATGTCCACGCCCGGCCCGTTATCTTTGCATATCGCCAATATATACCGGTAAAATGGACTGGTCTTAGAAATAAGAATATCTTCATATATTTCAGAAGCTTCTTGTGAACTTGTTAATTAACTGCATATTGACAACAACAGAAAGAAAGAAAAAAAGAAAAATATAAAACAGCGATTATCGGTTATTTTTAATTCAATAAGCTATAAAAGAAATCCATGACAGATGTATTTTAGGCGAGATATGACATACGTACTTATTACAGGTACTGAGCGTTGTTACCCAAATAACCATCCGCGCGTGACCGGTAATGATGTTAACTAAGTACCATCAAAACTTATCTACTACCATAAAAACTTACTAGCATCACTTTTGTATATGTCCTTTTCTTTATCTTGTCATGCATGCGTGAGGAGCGTTTTACGCGACACAGTGCGGCATCGAAATTACTTATGAATAATAATTACACGTAGATAAAGCTTCGTTCTAGAGAATCGTCACAATACAGATGTTGGTGCGAATAGTTGACACTTATTGAAGCCTCTCGTGTATGTTGTTTGAAGCTCCCAGTTTCCTCCTCCTGTACTTAGCTGTACAATAAAAGGATACCTCCTGTTTAATAACCCGCGTCACAATAAATATGTATATATGCCATCTCTTAACTTGAAAGTGCTCTCGCGTTTTACTAACCAGTTCTTCATTTCAATTTTGTTATCAAACTAAATATTACTTTCTAATGGTTATATTTGTTTTAATTTGACTATGTTAGACATATTCAATAATAACTGAACTGTTGTCTATGTTTTTATTATGACGTTTAAAATTTTATACTCAATAATAGCTGAAGCATTCGTTTACTTTGAGTTTAAAACTATGAAAACTTTTTAAATTTTCCAAAATGTTGATATCAATGTCTAGTGTTGATAAAAACTTTCGCCTGGAATCAGAATATGAAATTAATATTTATGAGGACGATACGAGGTAAATATATGTAATTATATTCGTTTAGTTTTTAAATTGAGTTTGTAAATTAGAATTAACAGCTGTTTGTGTTTAGAAATTCCTGCATAAAATTGCTGTATTGGAGTTCGACCAGACAGCTGCGACCTAAGTTGATTTTTAAATAGGAGAAACCGCTTCTACTAGGGAAGTTTTACCAACTATTTGTCTGGTAGGTTTTTACCAACTATTTGTCTAAGTAAGGTTTTTACCAACTATTTGTCAGGTAGGTTTTTACCAACTATTTGTCTGGTAAGGTTTTTACCAACTATTTGGCTGGTAGGTTTTTACTAACTATTTGTCTGGTAGGTTTTTACCAACTATTTGTCTGGTAGGTCAGAATTGGCCGTATGTTTTATTTATATATAAACTACCATACTACTACACGTCATCTCCCAACAATATCTTACCACTGACAGATAATCGCTTACCGTAATAATTTGTACATGTGGACATTTATTATATAACATTTCCAGGACGAAACACCAATACAAAAATCAAATAACTGATAGGATTAATGATTTAATGCGACATAATGTGTCTCAAAAATACAAAATTCTGATTTTTTTTTGTCACCAAGCATGGCGGATACGATCATAAATTATATCAAATGTTTGTATTGAAAAAAACCTCTTTACATTTTACTGAGACGCATTTTCTAATTGAGATCCTGTTTTAATTTACTAGGTTTTTAAATGTTCGTGTTGCGTTAATCAAAACATATCATCAATAACAAACCGTAGATTCTATTTCTCGTGTGTATGGGGCTATCTCGCGGTGTCAACATCAGCTGTACACGTCGGGGCACTGTTACATATTTCCCATAGGACGACTGCATCGTTTGCTCCCGAGGTCGGGACGTGCATGTTGGGGCGACCTGAGAACCGGGAAGGGGGGAGAAGTAGACAGCAGGGAGGGGGACACATTCCTCGTACCGCGGATTACTGGTGCTGTAATCTCGTAAATCCCAGACCAGTCGATACTCGGGGACTGATACAGTTTGAGGAGGGAGGAGGGCTGTGGGGAGGGGTACCAACAGAAGGCTGATACGCTGGGATATTTTGTCGACTGCACCACGTTCTAGTTTCGACGTACTTTTTCACTTGCGTCAAAATCCAACAGGTGTCGGCGATATGTGTGCAGCAAACCGAGGCTGACATGTACATCACCACAGTGGCACGGTCTTCTATAAATCCTAAAGATTACATTGTATGGTTTACAGTTATGTACTTTAAATCAAAACGATCACTTGTAAAATTTATGGATTTTATTGTAAGTATTTTTCAAGATATCTTACATGAAATGAAAATACAATTTTTCTGAATCCGACATATCTCTGATCGTCGATTATAATCGCCTTGTAATGCTTTTCAGTCCACATAGTTATCCTCTTAGAATACAATACATTTGTATATCCCTTTCTTAATACTCCACGCATGTATTAGCTTTTAAAGGGGACACTTTGGGTTTTGATGTTTCCATGAGTTTAAACGTCGCAATTAAATTCAGATTCCTTCAACAATAAAATTTGAATTCTAAATACGCCGGATATAAGGTTTGTTATACAAATGTGACCCCTTGTTACACACTAGCGTGTGTCTGAGTAAAATATAAACAAGTCTGTGAATCTATGACAATGTTATATTACGTAGAACTTGCGCCAAGGTGTTACTTTGAAAGTAATTTATAAAACTATTTCAATCTTTATAAATTGTTTTGCATTAATTATAAACTGAATTAAAGAGCGAGGACACATGCGGTTGGTATACTTGAGATGCCGGTGTTGTAAGTGTCCCTAGCATGCCATTGGGTGCCGTAGGAGCTGGGTTTCCGATGTCGCTAATTCGCTTGAGAGGTAGTGATAAGCTGCAAGTTGGGGGAAATTCCTGTTCGCAATTTCATATCCTTGTTAAAAGTGTGTCCGCATAGTCAAAATAGCCATTTCCTGAGCGATAAAGTCGGCAACACACCACTCGCCAGCTTCTGTGGCAGAAAAATATCACATTATCATAATACAAAATTGTATTATATGTCTGTTAAAATGTCATGATACGACAGTTTGGATGTATCTTTCAATAGACAAACCGTTATGATCAAATCAATATTGTGAAACGTAACATACAATTTACTGTTTTTACTGTTAAACTACAATTTACTGTTTCTCTATGAGAAATGTAAATTACAATTTACTGTTTATCTATGAGAAATGTAAATTACAATTTACTGTTTCTCTAGGAGAAATGTTAATTACAATTTACTGTTTCTCTAGGGGAAATGTTAATTACAATTTACTGTTTCTCTAGTAGAAATGTTCATTACAATTTACTGTTTCTCTAGGAGAAATATTAATTACAATTTACTGTTTCTCTAGTGGAAATGTTCATTACAATTTACTGTTTCTCTAGTAGAAATGTTTATTACAATTTACTGTGTATAGGGATGATGTCATTTACGAATTACTATGTATCAGGGACAAATGAAACTGAATATAGGGGAGAAATGTAGTTTACATTTACTGTCTATAAGGAGAAATGTAGTTTACATTTACTGTCTATAAGGAGAAATGTAGTTTACATTTACTGTCTATAAGGAGAAATGTAGTTTACATTTACTGTCTATAAGGAGAAATGTAGTTTACATTTACTGTCTATAAGGAGAAATGTAGTTTACATTTACTGTCTATAAGGAGAAATGTAGTTTACATTTACTGTCTATAAGGAGAAATGTAGTTTACATTTACTGTCTATAAGGAGAAATGTAGTTTACATTTACTGTCTATAAGGAGAAATGTAGTTTACATTTACTGTCTATAAGGAGAAATGTAGTTTACATTTACTGTCTATAAGGAGAAATGTAGTTTACATTTACTGTCTATAAGGAGAAATGTAGTTTACATTTACTGTCTATAAGGAGAAATGTAGTTTACATTTACTGTCTATAAGGAGAAATGTAGTTTACATTTACTGTCTATAAGGAGAAATGTAGTTTACATTTACTGTCTATAAGGAGAAATGTAGTTTACATTTACTGTCTATAAGGAGAAATGTAGTTTACATTTACTGTCTATAAGGAGAAATGTAGTTTACATTTACTGTCTATAAGGGGAAATTAACTTTTGCAATTTACTGTCGATCGGTAAGAATTAAAATTTACTGTATATCGGAGAGAAATGTAACTTAAATGCACTGTATATCGGGGAGAAACTAACTTAAAATTTACCGTGATTGGGAAAAGATATGTAACTTAACTTAGTGTTTATCGGGGAGAAATGTAACATTTTCTATTGAAATCGAAGTCCTTCTTTACTTTCGAAGACTTTCTGTGAAAAGTGTTAAAATCTTTTCACA